CTGGGTAGGACCGATCCCCGCCGTCCCCAGCGCAGCGGTCAGGGTGGGAGCTCAGCATGTAGTACTGATCGGCGGAGAGGTGCTCCCTGGGAGGACACGTTGCCGGCATCCTCCCGCTGGTCCCCTCGCCTTCTTTGTCCCGCTGGCACAGGAAAGTGTCAGAGATCCACCTCCCCTGGGCGTGCAGCGGGGCGGTGGGCACCGACACGCGGCGGCGGTCCGTGCTGCTGCCTGGGGATGCCCGCAGGCTGTCCCTGCGCACCGGGGGCTGCGGGGGCACGGGGTGCCGAGCCGTGTGCCTCGTTTCCGCTCCTTCAGCGCCTGTCTGCAGGTAGCGTGGGTCTGGGGGCTTGCAGGGACCCTCAGGGCCGGCGGCGTCCTCAGGGCGCAGGGATAAGGCGCAGTCTGAGGTGTTGGAGCTGGCTGAGAAGGAGCTGTAGGCTGAGTCTCGCTTGCTGTGGTGCTCAACAGGCGATGGGGTGCCCTCGTAGTAAGTGTGGCCGGGCTGATCCAGGCTCTCCATGCTCCCGATGGAGCTGCTCCGGTCCGTGCTGCAGTGCCGGGACAGCGGGTTCCACTGCAGGGACAGCTCGCTGCCGGCAGCGTCACGGTGCCGTCAGTGTCCCCGAAAGGGAGCATACAACCCCCAGGTTCAAGTCAGCACAACGGCTGCCCAGGGGACATGGGGAATGCGTGGCACCGGGACTCGTCACCTCCTGGCTGCCTCCGGCACAGCCACCACCCCTTCCTGCCAGCAGTAAACAGGGCAGTGGCGAACCGGCGTTGTGGGGCAGCTTGGGGACCCCCTCCCCATCCTCCCCCTAGTTGGGACCCCTCCGTGTTTTCTCACCTGACATCACAACCCGAGGGCCAGGAGAGGCTGAAGGCATCGGGGGGGCAGTGCATGGCCGGGGCGTCGGGGCGGATTTCGGCGAGCTTGGCCATGTGCCAGGAATGGGGCCGGAGGACGGGCACGCTCCTCCTTGCCAAGAGCAACAGCGGGAGAGGACAAGAATGGGGAGGAAGCCGGGCCGAGGAACCGGGGCTGAAGTCACTTCCTATGGGGTTTCCTGCCCACCCCCACACCCCCAGGCCAGCGCCCATCTAAGGGGGACAGCGGTGATGGGGGGAGACCACAGGGGTCCCAGGTGTGGCACACAGGGTTCTGGCACAGGGCACGGCTGAGCATTCTCCTCCCATGCCCAGAACAAGCTCAGCCCTCTTGGCCTCAGCTGCTGGACCCTGTTGAAGGGACAGTGGGGACACCTCTGTGCCCCCCATCCCAGTCCCTCCTAAGTGTTCCCATATGGGTAGCAGGGCTGATGCCACTCCCTGCACTCCACAAATGTCATCTGCCAGCCCCAGCATCCATAGGGGCTGTCCCACTCCCCAGGGCTTGGCATGAAGGGAATGGAGTCTGAGGGGAGGGCACGGGGGTCCCTTACCCCACCCCCCGACACCCTCAAACTCACCATGGATGAGGCTGCGCCCCAGCGGCGGCACGGCCCAGGACCCTCTGTGCCCCCCAGCACTGCAGCCCGGCTGGGAGCAGCCGGCAGAGTGGCTGCAGGGGGGGTTGGGGGGGCCGGCACTGCCTCTCCTTCCTTCCCCAGGCAAGCAGGAAGGGAGAGCTCGGAGATACCGCCCAGAGAGGGGGCGGTGAGCAAGGGACACCAGGCTGGGATCTGCCCACCCCACTGCAGGGACTAGGAATGATGCTAGGGGTCACCCCACACCCAGAGCCCCCTCCCCATCCCCGTGCCAACCTGCGGACGATCATCTTGAGGGTGCGGTAAGAGCCCTTGATGAGGATGAGGGCTTCCTGGCGGGAGCCGTACAGGGGGGTCCCGCTGATGTTCACCAGCTCATCGCCGGGCTGCAGCCTCCGGGACAGTGCTGCCTTCCCCCCGTCCTCCACCTGGGTGAGAGACAGGCATCAGGGCAGCACCATCCCAAAAGCTGCCCCCTACACCCCGACGGTGCCTTCAGCCCGAGCACCCCGCTGTGAATGCAAGGGATCCGCGGTGTCCGCCCCAGTCACATGAAATTCTGAGCTAAGAAAGGGCAGAGGGAAAGGAGGAGGGGGAAGAAAAATGTCCCGTCCCAGCAGATTCCCCTGCGGGCGCGGGCAGCACAAGGGCTCTTTGTGCCAGTCACCCATAGGGGCTTCATTCCCAGCCCCGTAAGGATGCTGCTCTGCTGCCCGCCTGCGGGTTTAAGGGTGAAACAGCCAGCACGGGGCTCTGCACCCTTTCCCGGAGGGCTCCACGGGGACCCCAAAGCCACCTATGGGGTGACACGCCACCGCCAGCCGCCCACCCTGCCCGCGGGCTCCCCACCCTGCCCGGCAGAGGAACGGGCTCTGCGCACAGCGCCCTCAGCGCCCGCCTGGGTGGCTGCCAGCCCCACTGCCGGGGGCCCCCCGCCGCTCCCCGGCACCCCCAGGGGCAGAGCTGGGGGACCAACAGGCAGCGCAGCACCCGCGGTGCCGGGCAGCCGAACCGCAGCGTTCGCTCCGGTCCCGGATGGTGGCACCAAGTCGACCGGTGGGAATACCTGCTGGAACCCACCGCAGGACAGGACCCACACGGCCGGACCCCCTCCATCCTTCCTCCAGCGTGGGGGCCCGGGGCCCCCCATTCCGCCGGCACGCAAGCTCCTCGGCCGGCTGCGGGCGCCCCGGGGGACCCTCACTGAATGCACAGAGCGCTGGAACAAGCCCCCTTTGTCTGCACTGCACACGCGGCGGTGGCGGGGGCCGGCACGGCGAGGACCCCCCCTCTCGATTCCCGCAGCAGCAGGACGCGTCCCCGGGGTCCCGATCCAGACTCGGGGCACAGTGGCTCTCAGCCCCGCGGTGACACCCCTGGGGCACAGGGCAGGGACAGGAGCCACTTTTCCAGCTCCCCCGGCCAGACCACGCTGCAGCGGGGCGGGATGGCCCTGGGTACATTGGGAGGGACAAACTGGGGGGGCACGAGCGAAGGGGACGGGGCTGACCCCCTGCCATGCATTTGGGGTGTCCCATGGGTGCTGCACGACTCCCGCGGGAGCGATGCCAACCGATCCCAAAAAAGTGGGGACAGCAACAGAGCGAGGGACAATTGCAGGGCGGGGGGGTCAGAAGGGGAGCGCAGCTGCCAGCGCCTCCGCCGACAAACCCCGATCTTCAGCGCGGACCCTTGGCGGATGGGCCAGGAGCGGGGTCGGAGGGACCCCAACTTCCCCCAAAGTCCCATCTCGAGGATATGGAGGCAGCATAGAGGGGACACGGGTGCCCCCCCCCCCCGTCCCGGCATCGCCTTCCTTTGGGGTGGAGGGGTGCGGGGGCGGCCGCCCCCCCGCCAGCCCAACGGATGTGCCGGAGGAATTTCCTCCCGCTCCCTGCGCTCCGCCCTCCCTGCCCCCGGGGGGAGCCCTGGGAAGCGGGGAAAGGGAGTCGTAGGGGGGGGAGACGGGACCCCCTATCTTACCTTGGAGACGATGAGGGGCTCGCCGTGCTCCAGACCCCCCCGCAGCGTGAAGCCCCACGGCGCGCCGCCCTGAAGCTGCACATGCACCAACTGCACGGCCCCGGGCCGGCCCTCGGCCCGCTCCATGGCCGCTACCGCCCCATCCCGGCACGGCTCGGCACGGCTCGGCACGGCGGAGGAAATGACACCCCCCCCCCCCCCTCCCCACCGCCCGCCTGGCTGGGGCGGAGCGCAGCCAGCCCCGCCCGGCACGGCTCGGCACGGCTCGGAGCCGTGCGCTGCGCTGGGATGGGAGCGGTGCGGCTCGGAGCGTCCCGGTACAACAAGGAGGGCTGGCACGGCGCGGCTCAGACATACACATGGCACATCGCGCTTGGCACAGTTTGGTTTGGCACAAAGTGGCACAGCGTAGCACTCCGTGGCACGGTTCAGCCCCGCGTGGCACGGTTTGGCACAGCTGAGCGCAGTTTGGCGCAGCGCACAAGCGAGCTTGGCGCGCTGGGGCTTGGCACTGCTCAGCACAGTTTGGCTTGGCACGGCTCAGCTCGCAGCCTGTGCTGGACACCGAGGGGCGCAACCCGCCGCGTCCCACCCAGTGTCACCCGTTACCACGCCTGGGAGGGGATGGGTGACGCAACGCCGTCTGGCCCCCACCCTGTCCCCCGGGATGTCACCCCACGTCCCCCCGGCAGCTCTGACTCATTGCCTCTTTGCCAAAACGGCTGCTCCAGCGGCTCCGAGCTGTCCCCACGCCACCGGGATTTGGGACACCCCACCCTCCCAGATGTCCCCACTGTCCCTGTGCCACTGCTGGCGGTCCCCGTCCTGTATCCCTCCTTGCCCTCTCTGTCACACCACGTGGAGCCCACTTTGGGCAAGGAGATGTCCTGTCAGGGTGGCATGAGTGTCACTGGGTTTGGGGACGGTGTCCCCCATAAGGCTGTGCCTCAGGGGACCCCGCAGGTGACACAGCTGAGCCTGGTGACAGCTCAGGTACCACCTGGCTGTGCTCTGTGCTGTTGGGTTCTGGGTCCCTACATCCACGTGTGCCACCACCCCTGGGCTCAGGGACGTCACCCCACCTGCCAGCAGGGCAAACTGAGGCACCTGGCCCCTATGAGCCCCCCAGGCTGGGCAGAACTGTGCTCTTTCCTCCATCCTGACCTCTCAGAGAGCTGGCACTGAGGAGGGAGAATTTAGATGTGGTTCTCAGGGGGCTCCTGCCCCTTTAAGCCCTAATTAGGACCATGCCTTTAAAAAGTCCCATGGGCCCCAGCCCTCTTATCCTGCTGGACCAGGCCGGTGAGGAGCAGGTGGGCTGAGCAAGCTGGTCCCCCCACTGCACCCCTTCCCCACCCCGGCACTTTTAAGCCCCCCTCCCATTGCCAGGCTTTTGTCCAGCTGGCTTTGCCCCCTGCTTTGGGGGATTTGGGTTTTAGCCCTGATCTTGCACTCTTTTTGCAGAGCCCCCCCTCTTCACCCTTTTTCTCTTTGTGCTGAGCTGAATCCTCTGGCATGGGTGCTGTAGCGTGACAGCACCCCGGGACCTCTTTCTGCTTTACCTCTGGGGGGGAACACATGAAGCATGACCGCAGCGCTCCACTAATCCTGCTGTCACCTCACCCCCTGTCACCCACCATGGCTTTGCTCCGCCCCTTCACCGCCCTCCTCTTCCTCACCGTGCTGCTTTCCTGGGCTGCGAGCCAGACCCCCCCCTTGCCCCTCTTGCAAGCTCTGCGGGAGCAAGCGCCAGGTAGCCAGGGCTGGAGGGGGGGCGCAGCCAGTGGGCAGCCCCTGCGCTACATGCTGGAGCTGTACCGACGCGCTGCTGACCACGAGGGGCGGCCCCGGCGTGGCCGCAGTCTGAGCAGCAACACCGTGCGCCTGGTGCAGGCGGCTTCCCGTGGAGGACAGCCCTGGGCAGGTAAGGTGGTGGCAATGGGTGATGCGATGTGTGGAGCTGGCGGGGTTGTTTTGAGTCCTGGAGTCGCTGCTTGGGTCTGTGCTGTGCCCTGGTGGAGCAGCACTTGGTTGTGAGATTCGCCCTTGGCTTGGGGACAGTGCTGCTGCTTGGGTCTGATGCGTCCTGTGTGATGGTGCTTGGCCATGGGGTCCCTCTTGGCTTGGAGACACTGGTCTGTTGTTTCTTGGGTCCTCCTGATGCCCTGTGTATAGTTTTCCCCTTGGCTTGGTAATGCTGTCTCTGCTTATGTCCTCACTGTGCCCTTTGGAAGCAGTGCTAGGATCCCCTCTCTGGCTTGGAGGTGTTCTGTGTGGTCCTCTCTGTGCCTTGCGGAACACTTGGCCATGAGGTCCCCTTTGGTTTGGGGATGCTGTTTCTGCTCAGGTCCTTGCCATGCCCTGTGGAGCATCTGGTCATGGGATCTCTTCTTAATTGGAGACACTGTCTTGTGCTCAACAAAGGCAAGGGCATCACTTGGTACTCATGCTGCAAGCACTGCTGGCTCTCCACTCCCACTGCAGTGCTGGCACAGGAGATGGGACCCCTCCCAGCTTTCTTTGCCAAGGCCCCCAACACCCTGTTCTGGGCACAGTGGGGTGGGATGAGGTGATGCCCCAGCTGACAGCTGCTTTCCTCCTGCAGGTCGCTGGTACATGCAGCCTCTCACCTACCAGCTGGGTGCCCAGCCTGAAGCTGAGCACCTTCTCCGTGTCACCGTGGCTTACCCTCAGAGCCTGCCACTGCCCCGCGGCCGCCTCCTGTGTGCCGTGGAGCTGCTGCCTGCTGCCAAAGCCCCGGCGGTCCTGCTCAGCCCCGCAGCCCCATCCCGCCACGGCTGGACCGAAGCAGACATCACCCCCTATTTATCCCCAGCAAATAGCAGCTCCGGAGGGGCGCTGACCCTGCGGCACATCTGCGTGCGAGCTGGTCGAGCCACCGCAGCCAACCCAGCGTCCCCTGCAGACCCTTTCCTCCTCCTCTTCCTCAATGACACCCGCAGCGGGACGCTACCGGAGCCTCAGCGCAGCCGACGTGAGGCAGGGACGCTTCTCCACGACCTGCCCAGCTACCTACGGGATGCTGGAGGGGACAAAAGCGATTGCTCCCTGCGTTCCTTCCCCGTCAGCTTTGCCCAGTTGGGTTGGGACCATTGGATCATCGCTCCCCATCGCTACAACCCACGTTATTGTAAAGGAGTGTGCCCGCGGCTCCTCCGCGACGGCTACCACGCGCCCAACCACGCCGTGGTGCAGAACTTGGTCCACCAGCTGGTGGATGCCAGCGTCCCCCGACCCTCCTGCGTCCCCTACCGCTACAGCCCCATCAGCGTCCTGATGATCCAGCATGATGGCAGCATCCTCTACAAGGAGTATGAGAACATGATCGCAGAGTCCTGCACCTGCCGGTAACCTGTGCCCGGTGCTGGATTCTTCTTTTTGGATGTATTTTGATGCTCGGTGGGTGGGTGGCTGTGCTTTTTTGTGGGTGTTTTTTTTTTGTTTTTTTTTTGTTTTTTTTTTTTTGGTTTTTTGATGGGGAGGGATTTGTCTCCACTCTGGTGCGATGCTCTGAGGGAAAGTTTTACAGTTTTATGGAAAACTTATATATAAAAAAAAAATTATGTAGGATTTTAAAGGTGGGAGCCTGCCCTTAGCATCCCTCTGTCCTGCACTGCTGTCTATTGTGGGGGCTGGAGCATGAAGCTGGTGGAGAGCGTGTCTCCATGCTGTCACCTGCACCCATAGGACTCAGTCCCACGAGCCCCAAGCCATCTTGTCCCTGAGTATTTTGGGGGCTCCCCCCGTTGCAGCCCCAATCCTGGCTTTCCTTGGGATGGCTACGGAAACTGGTGGGACGTGGGGATGGCAGTGTCACCCCATTGCCTCTCCTTCTGCTGGTCCTTGTGGGCTGGGCTCTGCTCTGAACCTGTCCTTGTTCCCAGAGGTGTCCCCCAGGCCCACAGCCTGGCTTTCCTCTATTTATTGCTGACTGTGTTAATAAATAAATGACTGAATTTTGCTGAAGCCCACCTTGGTGGCTCCTTTGTTCCCTTGCTGGTCTGTGGTTGTGCACCAAGCCCCAGCCACCTCCTTTTGTGTCCCCTACGCTTTTCCTTCTGCTGTGACATAAGGAGCCCCGCGTTCCCCTCCTGTCTCCTTGCTTTGGTCACTGCAATCCAGTGGCAGCGTGAAGGAGAGTGCTTCCAGTCCGCGTGGAAGGTGGTGGAGCTGGGATACTGGGGTGGGTGGGCGCCCTGGGGGCTTTAGTTCCTTCAATGGTAATGTGCGGGGAGCCCGGGGGATGGCAGCGCGTTGTTGCACGCTCCGTGTAGCCGTCCGTCCCCCGGTGTCCGCGGACGGGAGCTGCCTTCCATCGCACCCCGCCGTCCCCATGTCCCCATATGGCCCCCTGTCCCCGCCCGCCCTTCGCGGCCTCCGCCCACCAGGGGGCGCTGCCCACAGGCCGCGGAGACGCCAGGTCCTGACCGCTGCATAGTGAACGTTAAGGGGCTCTCC